CTGAAGTAAGTGTTCCCTGATAGAGCGTCGAGGGCATCATCGATGCGAGGCAAGGGGTACACGTCCCTTTTCGTAGCCGTATTCAATTTACGGTAGTCCACGCAAAATCGTTTTGAGCCATCTTTTTTTTTACCAAAACGACGCGCGCTGCCCAAGGACTGGCGGATGGCTCTATGACGTCAGCGTCCAACATATTTTGCACTTCTTTCGCGATTACCTGTCTTTGTACGGGTGCGACCCGTCTCGCTGGGAAGGCGATCGGTGGAGTATCCCCCGTCGGAATCGTATGTTGGACGAGTCACGTCCGGGATAGTTTGTCTGGCTGACCGAACAGCCTGCCGTATTCACCGAGAAGCAAGGACTTCAGACGCGTCTTTTGCTTGTCCTCTAGTTCCTCTCCGAGCCTCAACTCTTTCTCCAGACATGAAGTTCCCGCCCCCTTGCTCTTCGAGTCCTTGATTTCGACCGAGTCATGGAGATGACCCAACGATGTCCCTCCTTTGAGGTGTATCGGTGAACTTTCAAGATTTATCACGAGGATCTCACACATCCCCTTTTCGTCCGATCGGACTAGACTATAGGGTGTGATGTATTGGCTCCCAGGGGTGCAATTAAGAGTGCCGTCTATTTGTAAGGTACTTGATCGTTTCCCGGTCTCAGCCTTCACGTATAGAGCGGCTCGTGGAGGTATCACGGTTCCCCCATCTGATTTACAGGAACCAATTGGGCGGGAGTAGGCTTGAGAATCTCTGAGATCTGCTTTATTGACGAAAGCAAATGACTTCGTAAGGAAGGGCTTCCCCAGAATAAGATCTTTTGACAGATTGTCAATGATGGAGGAAGGTTCTCGTTGGCCATCAACCTCGAGTTCGACAGCACCAACGACTTGCATAGGCCTCTTTCAAGCGTCGATCACGTGCGGGCTCTGTTCTGGTATGAGGATGCCTAAATCTTCATCGTTGACGTCTGTGATTGCGGAAGAAATTGCGTTCACATCGGCTCCCGTGTCCAGAGTGGCCGTCCTCGAACGTCCCAAAATATTGACTCGCATTCCGAATGAGTCTGAGACGCTTCCTATGCATTGGAGATGCATGCTTCTGGGACGCTGGGGACAGCTAGCTCGGAAGTGACCACTCTTCCCGCATTTGAAACATACTTTAGCCTTCTCATCAGGCTTGATATGCATTCTCGGGTATTGTTCTTTCTTCTCGAAGTCTCTCTTGACTCCGTTTGTGGAAGGTGAACCAGTGGTCGGTTCACTGAACTTGTCGGCGACCTCCATCAAAGCTTCAAATTCCTCGGGGTTAGCTGCAACGACGAAGTTCTTGAAGTCTATTGACTGACAAGAATTTTCGATCTCGTCCAGGAAATCCGTGAAATTGAAGGGGAGTTCTACTTCTCGGAGTAGTGACTGTTCGCGAGTCGTTTCCGGTTGTAGTAATCGCTTGGAGATTTCTTCTGGCCCTTAGGGAAACGCGCGAAGAATGCGATTTTGAAGTTCTCCCACTTAGGGAAGGGACTGGATGTCACGAACCAAGTTTTTGTGTCGTCGTCCATTGTCCTGTAGGCGAGTCTCATGGTTTTCTGCTCGCTACATCCGTTCACGGTAGCATCCATCTCGAGGCGCCTCATCCATTTCTTGGGTTCTTTCGGGTTGAACTGCGGTATGTCATTGTAGGGAATCGAGTTGTCCATGAGAGAGGTGAGAACGTCGATTGTTGTTGGATTCACCGGGAGTGGTGCGTTATTGTTCCTGCAGTTATCCCCGTCCATTGCTGCCACCAATTGTAACCTGTGGTTTGGATAACGAAGGTCGGATGCTACGAAGTTTATTGCAATCCTCAGCTCTTAAATAGTCAGTGGCGCTGGCATCGACCAGCGCATCAATTTATACATAATTGCGGGATAGAAATTCATAGATATCGAACCTTTTTTTATGAAACACGGTCAAGCATTCGATTCTATTGAAAATTTCGGGAGAAATGATCCATTGCTTACATACGTGCGGTGATCTTGACTGGGATATCAGCAAAAATTCACAGAGGAATGTTTTGATAAACTCCATGCAATCCCGCTTCAATGTGGATCTCATCACGAATCCAGATTTCCCTACAACCCGCACCCTCTCCTGCATAGATCTCACTTTCACCCGAAACCTAGAACATCAAGATATCATAAATCACATATCGCACTTCAGCTATCACAAACCGATCTTCACAACATTTGAATGAAGTATTGGGCCGAGTTTCATCTCAAACAAAATCTCCTTCACTGACGATAAGAAAAAGTGAGAACCTCGGAGTCTTCGTTTGCTTCAACGCGTAACCTGGAAACATATGAATCCGCGAAAACAGAATCACGGGACGCATGATCCGCACAGAAAGACGTTACGACCTCCCGAGAAACGCTCTGAGTCGAATTTTCAAATCACCTCATTTCGCGACGCTGCGCCGTTCGTGGTTCCTCTAAGAAAACCAACGTCCTTCGACGAATCACACAAGTTCGGTTGAAAGCCAATCTCGACTTTTTCGATATTTTTTTCTTGAAACATGAGGAGCTTTATTAACATTGATAGCTATCACTTGTGATGCCTGCAAGAGACCAGAGGTCTGAGGCGCAGTCGCATCGAGAATGCTCACCGTGTACATAGTTCAAAAAGGGGGGAGGGGCAGGTAGGGTCGTTGGGCGTGAACTCATCGTCGTTGGGGGGGGGTAGGATCGTTGGGCTTCATATTCAGGGGCCGTGAGTTGTAAAGCTTGATTAGTCCCACCGCGTCTGGTAGACTCACTAGCTCCAAGGGGAAGGGATAGATTTCCATGGTCTCTGAAGCGCGTCCGGTAGCCATGTTGACGCCGATGAGAAGGTATCACGCCGTCATTGGAAGATCTGAGCAGGCCAATCGAGTATAATTGATGGAAGTCGAGGATCTCCGCACGCTTGAATAGGGGCGCCGTGGGTGCTGTTCTCGGGGACTTGAAAACGCTCCGCAGGGCTCTTTTCTGAAGTTTGATCAGGGTATCGAGGGAGCTCTTGTACGTACCTCCATATATCGTGATCATGTAACTCAAGTAGGATTCTACAAGCGCAAAATACACCTGACGTCTTGCGTAAATCGAACTCATGTGTTGAAGTCGAGCAAAGAGGGCATTACCCGACCTGAGTTTCGAAGATATTGCCGCGATATGCTCATTAAAGCCGTTGTTCTGGACAATCAGCCCTAGATATTGTGAGAATCGTTCCAGAGGCACGGCAGCGGCAGATGGAAAGCAGAGAACCCCTCTCCAACCGGCGCGGTCTGGAGACGGAAGACGCAGACAGCATTGAACGTAAGTGTGTACGCGCGAAGCGATCGTTGACGGTCGTGGCTTCGACGCTGCAATAAAGACGCGTGTTCGCCACGGACTAGAGTTCGTAGTGAATCCCTACAAGTGGTGGAGATAGCGGTGTCGTTCCCGCTCCGAGCAACAGAAACCATCTGCCCCGAAGAAACAGAAAATACCAAACTCGTCAATACTCGCGAAGTGCAAGTCACGATGAGCGTGCAACATCCACCCCGGACTCTTAGTCCAGGTAGGCCGATCGTGCCTCCAGAAAACCCGAACCCGGCCTCACCGCAAGAGTAAGGAGGTGATGAACAGGTGGAACCGCAAGTCCTGGACTTCGAGCTGGTCGCCGAAACACAGGACGAGAGTGACCAGTGAATCCCTACAATATTTATAACTCTTAGCTTCTTCGATGCGCGTACACTCACAGACAAGGTCAGTGCATGACTTATCATGCAATATCACTTCCCCAGGGTCTACTGAAGGCTTATTACTCCTACGGAAATGCAGGAACATCGTTTTCTTCGCATTAGGTACGAGTCCGTTTTGAGTTTTGAGACATCCAAGCGTTCACCTCATTTATACATATGGTGGCGGCTGCCGTTGCGTCAACCATCAGCACCGTATCATCAGCAAACGCAATGGTTTTCACACTATCACAAGTCGCCCCCAGAGCGAAAAGATTGTTGATGTAGCATGAGAAGAGTAGCGGTCCTAGGACACTCCCATTGGGGACTCCATACGTGAGGGATGCCGGCTCGCTTTCATTGTCCCCTGATTTGTACATTTGCTCTCTTTCGATTGTGTCTGATCGCTGCATTCCTACATCCTCCTCAGCGGTAAACTGATTCTTTGTCGACGGGACGTCTGGAGCTTCTTCGGAAGTGCCGGGCGCGCAGAATGTTTGTAAGTGCCGTTCGATGTTATCCATGGAATTGAGCATCCTGCCGAGCATTTCCTGATTTGCTATCCGGGCGCTATCTCTAGAGTCTAGGTAAGATTTCATGACAAGGAGTGCAGCGCCTTCCAACCCAAGTCGCTCAAGTTTGTTGAGTGATCGCTTCGTGTTAAGTGTATCGAAGGCTCGTGAGAGGCCACAGAAGACCGCCACACATGATCGGTCATTATTAGAGTTCACATTCACCCGGACATTTATCCGGGAGAAACCGGACATTTCTCGGATGGACATCGAGGCCTGAACCGGGCAAAAAAACGGACGCTTGAAATCTGATGTCCAGAAGGGAATCGGGAGCGTTAGATAATGGAAGAAACCGAATTCGTCACTTTATTCATCGAAGAGGATATCGCGGTAGGATTGAATGGGAAGATGCCTGCTCAGATTCACGGGCGTTAATCTATGGCGACGATCCGAGAGAAGATTCTTGTACACGGAAAGAGATCGCTCAACATCGGCATTCGAAGCAACAGCATATTTAAAAACATCTAGACCTTTTCCTGACAATCTGGAAGTTCGGATTTCTTCCGAAAATGTCGTCGAATCGGGAAGCGTATTCCTCTTTGTGGCCCGACCGGACAGAGTGTACTATTGCTAACTGCTGCTCCAGAGAGATCGCTCGTTATTCCAGCTCCCATATCGCGACGGGTATTGATGAATAACGTTCGATGGACTCAAGCTCGGCATCCAGATCTGGGTCACTGACTAGAGACTTAAGAGCTTAACTGTCCGCTGCCCTCGCCTCAATCTGCGATGCGAATACTCGAGTCTCATTCTCATTAAAATTCCGGTGGTGATGCAGCGCTGTGAGGACGAACGTTTCCCAGCGCGTTATCACGGGCTTCGGAGGCAGAGCTTGGTTTTCAAGCAATGCTTGGTAGCGATCAGCGCGCGATTTAGAGCACGATAGGAGACTCTTTATCGTCGACAAAAGCGCGTTGTCCTTCAGATGCTCACCGCGTGTAGTCTCGTATAACAGGTGCAGGCCATGAGCAGAACGAGTCACGTGCAGGAAACTTTCGTAGGCAACTTTCGATTCCCGGCCCGCCGTGATGTTGTTACGACATTGATCGCTGACGAGCAGCTTGAAGTCATCGGGTTTCCTCGAGATCGACATCGCCGTTTGGTTGGGACTCACGCTGACGAGCGCCCTCTCCTTCAGCAACCCCATCGAAGAGCGCCAAAGGAAGGCACTTGTGGCCGCCGGCAGCGGCCACGGTCATTTGGGCGAAAAGTCAAAAGGGCGCAAGCTCCAATTGGGCGCAATGCCATTTGGGCGCAGTGCCATTTGGGCGCAAAGCCGTTTGGGCGCAGTGCCATTTGGGCGCAAAGCCGTTTGGGCGCAATGCCATTTGGGCGAATTCTATTTGGGCGCAACCGCCAATTGGGCGAAAAGTCATTTGGGCGCGCAGATCATCGGAAAGATACCTCGAGAGTGATTCGTTTTTTCATATGGTAGACGCAGAGATTGACTCCTTCAGAGCTTCAGCCATGCCGTCCAGCAGCCGAATAGGCTGGTCGACGAAGATTGTCTTCCTGCATCTATGACGATCCCACTCGACGAGAATGGATAATCGTAGGCAATCATCTCGGGACGAGACCTCTTTCGCCTTCGAGAGGGGCATCGAGGATGTGCGCGCTGTGCGCAGTGACGAGTGGATGTCTCGCGAATGAGAGTCGGAGAGACTCAAACAATAATAACTGCCGTGTGATCGAAATTCGAACGATTCTGAGTCGCCGTGATCATCGTTCCTAGACGCTCGACTTTGTTTTGTGATCCGTCGTGGAATTTCATCGAATAAAAATGGCTTCGAATATCACCAAGACTCAGAAAGGTCGTGAAAAACTTATTCACGAGGGCTGGATGTATGTCCGGGACCGTGTGATAGGCGGAGGAAGTGTACAGAGTTGGCGGTGCATGTATAAGAACGCTTCTTGTCCGTGCCGCGCTAGAGCGTACACCTCTATTGAGTCGGGGGAGGTCGTCAGTACGAAAGGCTCACACACGGATCCGGTCGACCCTTCGGGAGTCGAGACCACGAAAGTCCGTGAAGCCATCAAGCGACGCTGTGAAGAAACAAGTGAACCACCATCGTCGGTGATGTCCTCAGCGTTTCTCACGGCTTCGAGAGCAACTCTCGGACGACTCCCGGAGCGTTCGGTCATGGCGAGGATGATAAACCGCCACAGGAACGCCGTTTCGAACACCCCGGCAAATTTCGAATCTAGGAGTTCCATAGTAATTCCAGAACACTACCGCGAATATGAATTCGAGCCCGGACGATTCGAGAATTTCGTCGTAGCTGACAGCGGTGAAGGAGATGTCGACCGCATAATCATTTTCGGAAGAGAGTCCACGAGAGAGTGGATAGGCTTAGTCCAAAAGCTATTCGTCGATGGGACCTTCAGTCTTTCCCCACCGACTTTTTCTCAGGTACTCATAGCTCGCAAGGGTCGACCCAGGGAAGGGGTTTCCGCTATGGAGGATCCCATTGGATCGCTTCATTCTGGCCAATCCATTTAGCTTCCATTGACCGCCCTCCAGATTTTCGTGGTGCTAGCCGAACGGTCACAGTGTGTCCTCCCGGTCGCGTATGCACTGCTTCCGAACAAGACCGCTGAAACATACACGAGGGCGCTGAGTCTACTGAAGAACGCGTGGCCGGCTTTGAGTCCTCTGGCCGTGGTGATGGACTTCGAAAGGGCTGTCATGAACGCCGTGCGCAGCGTTTTTTCTTCCGATACGAGGATGGATGGCTGTTTCTTCCACCTCGTGAAGAACATCAAGCTCAAGCTGGCGGGAGAAGGGCTTATGAGTCGGTAAGACCCGTTCACTGAGCTGATCGATGGATGGATCAATGGATTGACTGGATATGCCGAACGATTTCATATGCTAGTTTTGATTTCTATTCGAATCTTGGAGAGAGGACTCCTCTGATCCGGCTCGCCAGTTCCAGCCCTAATTCTATCACAGCACCCTCTCAATCTTCTTCCCCGATAATGCTTTCAACAGGTGTAGTAATGACGACGAATTCGCGCTCAACGCGAGGATGATCGCGGCCCTGGCTTTCGTTCCACCGGCCGAGCTGAATAACGCGATCTCCCATGAGTGATCTGCTTCCTCAAATGAAAGATCCTACCAATTCTGCGCCCAAATGGCATTTCGCCCAAATGGGATTCGCCCAAATAGGTTTTCGCCCAAACGGCATCTCGCCCAAATTGCATTGCGCCCAAATGGCATTGCGCCCAAATGGCGCTGCGCCCAAATGACATTGCGCCCAAATGGCATTTCGCCCAATTGGAGCTCGCGCCCTCTTGACTTTTCGCCCAAATGACCTGTACCGGCGACGACTTCTATTCACAATTAGCAGGATATTCACATCCGCGAAAGTTAGAGGTCGCGTGGTGGAGGTCACGCTGGAGAGTCGTTTTTCGAGTAACCATTTGGTGATTCTTGCCACGGCGCTGCCGAACGTCGTGGAGGGTCTACGCGGACGTATATAGCGGATCGTGACGACGGCCAATGGGAAACCGCGATCAACATTCTGGTGGGGGTAGATGTTCTCTACCCGATAGTGGGGGAGAACATGAAAAAGCGAACGGATTCGTCGCGATCGAGACAATATTCGGGTACTTCCTATGTGGTACGGGCCATCGTCAGGAGATTCAGCGTAACCCTGTGCTGATGAAGGTGATCGCAGGAAAACGGGAATCATTGGCGAAGGGGCGAAGTCGCGAGCAATCCGGGGTAGCGGCGTCTCTCGCGACAGCGATCAGGGAAAAATACGATCCGGGCGACATCAGCTTCTTGTGGGATACGGAACTTATGGGTATCGAGCCGTATTTCGAGGAAAGCGACGAGGCATCGGATAGGGAAATGAGGAATTTCTGCAAACAAACGACGAAAAGGCGCCCCGATGGGAGATACGTCATTCATCTGCTGTTCAAACCTAATATCGAGACGCTTGGTTGTAACCGCGAGTTGACCGGAAAGCGGTTGAAATGTTTCTTTATGCGGACGAAAAAGAATCCGAAGATGTTAGAAGCAGTCGACTCAGAAATCACGGACCTGATCAACCGAGGGTCCGTCGAGGTAACAGAACCACCGGGGGCAGGGAAAATGTCCCACTATCTGCCGTTATTCGCAGTAATCAAGAAAACTACTTCCTCGGATGGTAAGATGAGAGTGAGGGTCGTGAACGACGTGAGCGCGCGTTCGCGAATGGATTCGAAATGCCGGAATTTTTTACACCGTGTGCACTTGTGGCGGATAGCCGGGCACCAACTCGAATCGTGTGTGCTTCCGCAATTCTGGCACTGCTTGGTTTGTCGGCGGTGCTCCTGTCTGTTTGATGATTGTCCGGTATGAGGTTGCCTTCTGTTCTGCTATCGCGAGTCAGGACTTTCCCGATGTCGGTCTTTGATGTTGCGATCAATCTTGTTCACGGAGTTTAGAGGCGGCTTTCTCGTCTTGATGTCGCTTAGTGTTTTCTCGTTGTCCTCATGGATTCGTAAGGTCTGAAGAACTTCCTCCAGACTCTGTTCTGACTGTTGCCGGAAAATCGCCTCTCGGGCTGATGTCAGATTCGTACCGAGGGCTAGTTGGTCTCGGAGCATTTCGTCTTCGAGCGCGCCATAGCGACAGCGCTTGACTTGGCCCAACGCTCTGGCGTAGAAATCGTGGATCGTCTCACCGCTCACCTGTTGAGTATTGTGGAAGGAGTAGCTCGCGTGGACGATGTTGAGCTGCTTGGCAAACCGATTTTTCTCAATGATTCGCATTCCTGGGTGTCTTTCGGTGCGTCATTAGTTAGGAACAACGTTTCCGAGACCGAGGTTTCGCAGAAGCTGTCGGTTGTTTTCGCCCAAACAACTTCTGAACGTTGCGATCCGAAGGGATGGCGGTTGTTTGAACAGTCCCTCAATAAGAGCATAGTCCCCGAAGCTTTCTTCGAAGTTTAGCCATGCCTCGTGATATCGGCTCCAGGAGTGATTTCGAGCGGATTTGGCTTACGACCTTCAATCTTCGGGTCCGTCATGGTGTTGCACTGAACGGTTCGTTGAAGAAAATAACTTCTCGTCACTGCGCCATGTTAGAGGACGATTACTACACTTGTTAGTTGGGAGAAATCAGAGCACCGTGGACTCGCATAAGCTCATGACAGCCTGACAGTGAGGAATAGACGTTTCCACGCAATATCACGGTAGTGGCGTCGACACTGCCTGCGCGGTTTTCTTTGGGGATTAATATTCTGGGCGGTTCGAATTATAGATTCAGCAGTTTCTCGATCGGGCAGTTAAGAAAATGATTTCGGGCAGAAACACAACTTCGGCAGTTTTATTACTTAGGACTAGCAGTCTTTTTTTCAATTCGTACAAGTTTATTTTACAAAGCTGGCAGTTATTCACGAGGAGTCGGGCAGTCTTCGACAACGAGACTGGCAGTTAGATATGCAAGGCGAGAAGCTCATACTTCTTCTACCCTAGTCGACGAGGAGAGCGCGAGTTGCCCTCTTCGGTCTACCTGGCTTCCGTTTCTGACCCAGAGGAATCTGCTTAGCTTCGGGTGGCGGGCGGACTAGCTGCCGACGAATAGCCATACCAAGAGCGTGCTTGCATTTGTATTCCTTGAGAAAGCATGGACAGGAGCAGCGCGCCTCCTTCCACTCCTCACCTGTCATTCTAACGACCCAGGCCGAGGAAGCATGCCTCTGGAAGTTGTCGAAACTCCCCCATTCGCTCTCTCTGGCGGGGAATTCAAAGTCGAAACCCCTCCCCTATCGCAAAAAATACCGCTGATCCAATAAGGAAGACTGCCACTCGAATAAAGCTGCCTGCTCCCTCCTTGGAGAAGCAGCACAAAGCGAGTTAAAGTCTGCCCCTGCTTAAAGAGAACCGCCCTTCTTCTAATCATCGCCGCCGATTCTATACTGCCGCTTGGGAAGCTGCCAAGTCTATAAATTAGTTGGCAAGTCGGTTAAATAACTGCTGATCGATATCAGAAGATCAGCCGAAATATTTAAAAAAATCTGCCGGTTAAAATACAAGCCGTTTTTTTTCTTTAGCTGCGCCGGCACTAGCCCGTCCTTTTGAAGTACAGTGTCGGCCAGGTGAACCGGCTCAGCATGCTCATCTGGGGCTCGATGGTCATCGTTGAGTAGGCTCCGTACCGCCGGCTGAGCTGCTCCCTTTACGGGGAGTGCGCTCGGCCCTCGGACGCCGACTTGGTGCCTGTCACGGTTAGCTCTTCGGATATCGTTCGGTGCGTTGAGGACACGGTATTTTCACTATCGATTCGTTTTATTGCTTTTCACAAAATCAGCGCCCTCCAGCGACTGACTGACCATTTGTTGTGTCTTTTTCTCTCATTCTCTTTTTCTTGTCGTCTGTCTCCGAATCCTTGGCGGCGCTCTCGACAGAGCGCTGACAAGACTCCGCCCACGGCGCCCCTAATGATCGACACTAAAATATTCTCTTTCCTCTTAAAAATATCACAGTTCATCATTTCACATAATTTCCGGATATAACAGCGCAAGGGGCCTCTGTAATACATTCCCGTTGCCCACCCTTAAGAAACATGATCGGATCTGCTGATCGCGTCCCACATTAACTCTCTCGATTCGACCCATTCGCCAGAATAGTTTGGGCGCATTGGGATCCTTGATGATGACGACTTGTCCAACTCGAACAGTCTTCATGTCTTTCGGCATCGTTTCGTGAAAGTTTCGGTGGAGTAACAGGTACTCATGCTCCCAACGCTTCCATACGGATTCCACCAAGCTCTTCCGGTGTCGCCAACGGCGAACGATCTCACTCGCCTGTATTTTACGAGGCATGAGGGCGTCCTGCAAGGGGTCTTCCGTGCGAAAAGTGAGGAAGTGCTGCGGGGTAGCACGTCTATATGCTCTGATTCCGGAATCTCACACAGTGGTGGCTTGTTTATAGTTGCCTCCACTTCGCAGAGAACTGTCAGCATTTCTTGTTCAGTGACCACGCTCCGTTCAAGAACCTTCTTGAGAGCGGACTTCACGCTCCCGTCCAATCTTTCTGTGAATCCCATATACCATGGAGCCTTAGCGACGGAAAATCTCCATTCTACACCCTCTCTTGCGAGTTCTTCTTGTACGGTGCCATCTCGCATGATTTCGCACAGCACTTTCAAATACTCTGCCGCTCGTTTGTACGCCTTCGCATTATCCGAGTCAAACGTTCTCGGACAACCTCGTCTGGCCTTAAGCCTCCGCAAACTCATGAGAAACTCTGTCGTCGATAGCGAATGCAGGATCTCAAGATGGATCGCCGGCCAAGGAATCCGAATTGTCCGACATTTCAATTTCTGCTTCCGATGCAACCGAGATCGCGAAGCTTTGTCGGAATCATTCGATTTTCACGCGACAAAAAATTTCTCTGGATAGTTTAAGTGCGTTTCTTTTTGGGATATGAGTTTCAATTTGTATGTACAAGAGAACATGCCATATCAGATCGGCTCCGTAGTTTCGAAGTACGGACCGTCTTGCCCCTCAGTGGGTGGCTCCGGCAAACTCGCATAGGAGCGTTCTCTCCTCGTCCTAATCCATCTGATCAGTGAGATGATGCCGAATACGAGAAATGAGTACAGAAATCAGAATACAGAAATCCTACCGCATATGCGATGTCGTACCTGGTTGCTATTGTCAGATAAAGCAACGCTCCGATAATCTCTCGGTATGGTAGACTCAGATCAATTTCGTCATCATAAGCCGATTTCGAATTATTATCGATGGGAGTAGCAATTTCTTAGCTGTTCTTCACTTAGAATCGTTCCGAAAGTTCAGAAATATAATTCGATTGGTGAATTTTGATTTGAGAACGATCGCCAGAGATATCGACGTGCATTCCCAGTAAATGGATTAGTGGCTTTGACGTGATTTCCAATTGTCCGCCCAACTTCTCCAAAAATTCCTGCACAGTCGCCAGATCTCGGCCCATGGTTAGGCCATCGTCCACGTACAGAGCCACGATCAGTCTCGTTTCTCCTTCCGTATAGTAGACACAGGGATCTGCTTTGCTCTGAGTCATCCCCATGCCCAGGAGTCTCTTCTTGATCTCCTGATTCCAGGCTCTGGACGCTTGCCTCAATCCATATACCGCTTTCAACAGCCTACAAACTCTTCCCGAGTTGTCAGAGAATCCTTCAGGCTGAGCCGTATAGACTTCCTCATTAAGTTCCGAATTCAAGAATGCCGTTTTGACATCGAACTGATATAGTGTTAGAGATTCTTTGGCTGCAATAGCCAGTAGGGTTTTGATCGTATCAAAACGTGCAACCGGCGAGAAGGTTTCACCGAAATCACGACCGGGACGTTGATCGTAGCCCTTCACGACCAATCTCGCGCGAAATCTCTCTACGTTACCATGTGCATCTTTCTTTACCTTAAATATCCATCGGTTACCTCTCGCTCGCTTCCCTCTCGGTAAGTCCACAAGCTCCCATACCTTATGATTAGAGTGCGTCACTTCATGCATTTTGCATATGTTCCATGAAAATGCATATTTCGACGGTTTTTCGAGCAAAATGCATATTTCGAGGTTTTCCCCTCTAAAAGGCATATTATGAGATATATTGCCGGGTAATCTCCGTAATATCCAGCGGTCCGAGGCATAACTACGATTATTTGCGATTTTTGGTCGAAAGCTCAGTGTTTCGAGAATCGAGACGATAATGTTTCCCCGAATTCGCCTAGAGGGAAGCTCGTGTGTAATGGAGGAGGGAGCGGCGGAGTCTCTGATTGATGCCGGGCTGGATCGGGGAAGGTACTCGCGAAAAATGCGATTTCGTCGTGTCTCGAAACGAAGGCCTCAGTCAATTGGAGGCCGTTGCGGAAGCCCTAAGAGGAACGTCATCTGCACGGGTTCCAGATGGTTTGGTGCCCTCAGAAATTTGCTCCTTGAAATTCGCTCCCATCACTTCTGTGGACGTCGAAAGAAGTTTTTCCCGTCTAAAGTACATTCTCAGCGACCGCCGACAGGGCTTCTCGTTTGAAAACCTGAATGCACCTCGTAATATTCTGCAACCCATAATTTGAGCTCCTTCAGAATAGAATTCACAACGCATTGTTGTTGGACGTCAGAATTACGACTCTCCCAATGCCCAATGATCGATTTCTTCAGTGCATATTTCCCCATTTTGTCTGCATATTTTGCCCGTTTTCAGTGCATATCTACATGCATTTTTCCGGGTTTTTTAGTGCATGAAGTGACGCGCCCTACTTATGATGGTCCATTGAAGCTATTCCTTCAGCAATGGCATTCAACCACTGCTGGCAGTGCACTGACTTATATACTTCATCTAAGTTATTTGGTTCGTCAACCATTTTAATTACACCGGTGCTCACGTTTTCCTTGTCTTGGATCGATCTCGTAGCTCATATCTACCACGTCCAGGTCGGTTGCTTCCATGGCTCGACTCTCCCGCTCTGTCGGGGTCCAACAATTCCTCAGAATTGGAGCTTCCTGGATCGGGTTCTGCGGCAGCTGGTCCTTGACCTTGATCCTCTCTTCCGTCCTCGATCATCTCATCTTCAGGATCTGCTTCGATGACGTTCGGCGTGCTCTCACTGTCGACTTCTTGATTTTCACTGGTGTTGGTGTCTTCTGGTTCCTCGCTCTCAACAAGTCCACTTTGTTTCGGGAAACCACGTCCTTTGTTCTGACGATTTTCCTCGTTCCTGGATACCAAGTCCGATAGCTGAGCCCGTCATCGTCCATGCCGACGACGATGCCTGGATAGGCTCGCTGATCGAGTTTA